AACAACACAGTCTGTTACTGATGTCTATATCATTTATCTGCATTTATGCCAAGCTTCCCCAAATAATTTGAAAACCTTTAGAGTTTTATAATTAAGCAACAATATGTTAATGATATCACGAACTCAACTTCTGCAAATGATGCTGTAATGCTGTTTTCAAAGGCAGGGGGATAATGTACCGGATTAACCACATTGTTAGGACGCAAAAGGTCAGGAAAACACCATGAGGTTTTGTTTAATTGACTTTGTGCTGGGCTTAAACGGATCGGATTGCCATCAGCGCGGGTTGAGGAGTGAATTAAAAAACGATAAAGCGAGCTGTGTTATATGAAATATAACCCCATCTCGACACTAAAGGCATTCCTCACTCCAGGTCGAATTTATTCTTCGTCTCCAGCAAAGTACAAGGTTAGGAAAAAACCGAAACTCAAAGCAAAATATTAATTGTTAGCTTGTGAAGCTAACGAAGGTAGAAAATAGAGGAGGAAAGCGTGGGAGGGCAATTGCTACTCACACGTACAAGTCAAGCCTCTAATTAAGGTATTTCGACATTTTTATCAAACAGGAAAATTAGTCTCCAAAATGTCGTGTAATTGAACTTGTCAGGTCAACAAACGAAGCCTGGAGCAGACAGAAGCACATAAACTTTATTAAACCGTGAACCCTAGTATAAACATTTGTGGCAAGTGATTTATTAACTGAAAAATGTTTATTGCCATTTGCTTTAATCCGTAACACAAAAGCTCGTGTAATTTTGATATAGAAGTGACAGAAAACTAAGAGTGTAGAGCTAAATAGGTCGTGTCAACTAAGTTTAGTCTGCATATAGCAGTCACTTCAAAATTTTCCATAATCAGATTGTTGTTCATCTGCTCTGTTAACAAAGTTGATTTTTTTTTTCTGAGATTTGTGCCGCTCCAGATCCTTTAGCCGGTTCAAGGCTGCCTGCACCCTTAAATTTCTTGTACATAGGGTACAGTTGAAACGTTTTGACTGCGTTTAGCCGCTAGCTTAGTTTTCTGATTTCCATGGAGCACTTGTTCAATTCACATGCGGCTAAAGGCGAGTGGACTAAGCGAATGGTCTCTCATTCCACACCTAAACAGAAGCTTTCTGAATCTCTAGCCTTCCGCGTAAAAGCAGCTTTACACTGTCTGCAAAACAAGCTGGTTCTCTGTCTATTTTAACACAAAACCGCATGTTGGACGCAAGGTTGTTGTGTCTTTAACGCTGTAGGGTTTTTCCAGTTAGCCGCTCTATTGTCTTATCAAGTCCTTGCTTACTGTTTTCCTCCCAGAACCACGCTGAGTTTTATAGTCTTTGTAGGCCTTTGTGTTGTTCTTAGTCGTACAAGAGATAATTAATCTGGTTAGACGGTCTGATTGTACTTACACTGTGGCACAACGTACTCGCCGAGATTCTCACGAGCATCGTGTGGAATCACCGATCGGCATTGCGCATGCTCTTCGTTGAGCTGTTTGTGAGTACGAAAGACTCAAACTGTGTGGAACTATAAGTACAAAACAAGCAGTCACAAAACCTGATCCATACTTGTAACATACCCGTCACCGCAGAACAGAGCAGACATGTTGAAGCAACAAGATGCTGCAAACTTTGCAAGAAGTCCTGGAATCCGCACCAGCTGAGTTCTACTGCTCCAGTGGCTGTCTTGTATTGCACAATGGTACAGTATTATTCCACCCACGCATTCCCGCGCGCGACTCGATGGCCGAATTTTACCAGAGACCAGAGAACGTTAGTTTGTCGGACGGCGTTTGTCCCACCATAGTTCGTTGATTACCTAGAAACTACAAAATTCTAATTAGGAGGTTATATATAAGCCAGGCAAACAACAGAAAATGGATTGTAGGAAATAAAAAAGCTGAATGCATAAAATGATGAACACACCCGTTACTGAAATATAAGTGCTCCAACTAGACTTCTGTCATCAGTTTGTAGAGGAAGTTGTACAACTGAGAAAATTCTCACGCTCCCTTCCTTCGGAGCGTGAGAATAAAGGCATAACTGGTGACAACTGGTGTAACTTGTTGATAGATCGGTTGACTGACGCATCGAATAGCTTCTAAATATTGACGAAAAAAATCAGCGACCATGGTAACCTTCACAGTGTGACTATCAATGATAGCATCTGTTTTCAACATCATCAGCTAATTCCAATTAACTGCTCTGAACTTTGATCCATCATCAGTCCACTATCATTTATTTTAAATTTTGTGAAATGTTGAATATTTACTTGCTGAGTACAATTCGACAATATAAAATAAGGGTCACAGAATTCGCGCTTGAACTATAAACTAAATTAGGGTGTTTTATTACAAGTCATACCGTTGCTATAGTAACTTAAATGGTAAGAAACTCCTTACAGCTTGTTCACCAATCATGTTTGCCATTATTTTGCATCTTTTTTAATGTTTTCAGTTTTTTACGATAGGAAGGGTAAGATTCCTTTTTATAAGCTGCTACCATACCTGGAATAATATTTTGCCATTTGTTTTTTTAGCACAGAAATTAATTATTTTTAGAAATTTAATTTTCACATGCTTAACATTATTAACGATACTTGAAACTTGTATTAAACTGTAACTAAACATATTCAACTTATATAATTAATTAGCTTTACATGAATGTGAATAGAATATAGTGTAGTACAATATAGTAGTGTCGCTTTGGTCAGATTAGTAAGATAGTTAGTCAATTACTTTCGGATTATTATTATTATTATTATTATTATTATTACTATTATTATCATTATCATCATTATTATTATTACATTAGTAACATATAATACATTATTTACAACACATAGCTTACAAAAGATTTCAATTTACTTATACGGGTTTTACACTGTATTATTCACACTAACGCCGGGCATCGAAACATTACAGAACTAAGTACAGCCAGCTTACTTCAGTCTTGCCGTTGCATTCTTTCTCCCTATATACTTGCTTGGACCCTTTTTTACTGAAAAAGATTCAGTATATTACTTATGGTCTTCTCGATCTTCGTTTAGGAGTCGATTGAAGAATTCTTGGTTAACTAGTTCCATGCATAGTGACAGATGTTTGGATCTTTGGGACAGCCTAACAGGTCATTTGAGACTCGCTGTGGACCTGCGTGTAAGACTTATTTACAGTTCGCCAGTCCTTTTACTTCTGTTGTTAGTCTTTTGTATTAGCTCTTACCTCGGTTACATCGAGTATTATTATTATTATTATTATTATTATTATTATTATTATTATTATTATTATTATTATTATTCAGTTTTAGATTCTTCTTTAACAAATGTTGTACTGCTTTGGGAAACAACTTTTAGCGTTAACATAATAGCCGAGTAAGAGACTACACACAAAAACGCTCATTAAGTCCTCAAGCTGCAAGCTCGTAACGTAAGCAAAACTAGATCTACAGATTAAACTTTTGTCATTCGTTCAACTCAGGCGGAATGTTTTAATATCAATATCTTCTCACAAGTTACCTATTTTCTCGCTAGTTTCATTGCTAACTCCAACGAAATTTGTCACTAAATCAGAATATCTGGATCTATCTGATCCATTCGTCATCAGAAAGCAGAGACATTTCGAGAGAGTCTTTCCCGGGGGTCTCTCGAACCTGCCAGCAAATTTCGGTATTTAATAAACGAATTCCTTTCTTTCCGTTATCTGATAAGGTGTTTGCTTTACTGAGGCATCGATATTCGAGGAGAATGAAACTTCATCTGTGTGTCTAGTCAGTCTGGACTTGTGATGACCTCAGATAACCTTTTGGGCGAGAGAAACATAAACAAGTGGCAAAATCCGTTCAAACACACCCGAGTCTAACTAATTTTAACAAGGCTAAACCTGTTTAAAACACTACACTTTTAGCCTAGTAAAAATAAGTTGTATATTTTAAGCGAAGTGGACAACTCCCGATTATGCCCACGATGTATGCACTAGTAATTAGACATCAATGAACATATTGGAGCTAGCTGATCTAATGATAGCATTCTTTAGAAACAAAGCCAAATGGATGATCTAGTGTAATCGAAATGTATTCTACACTTTTCTGAGCTTTTATGCTTTTGTTTGATGGAGGTTAAAGCTGCTTCTAGAAAGATTTATGGAGTGACAGAAGCTCGTCCATCGTGGAATAATAACTATGAATGATTTCTTAAATGGTCTTAAATCGTAGCAAATTGGTCATAATTTGCATTGACACTAAGTTCTCTTTTCAAATATAACCCGAGAAAGCTCACTGCAAATTTACAATCAAGGATGACGGTTTGCGGTGGTGGGAGGTACTAGAATATTGATGCATGAGCTGACAATCAAATGATCATTCGCGACGCGCAGATGACTTCTTTGGGTTGTAAGAACTGTAAATTTCTCGTCACGAAACCGCGTGACAATGTTCACAGGTCAGCGGGTGTTCATCAAGGCGTACATGACTCGTGACTCTGCAGTGCTGACTGAAAAAAAGATTGTCCCATTTACTCCTTCTTAAAACTTCCGTTAGTGGTTTAGACTGTATTTTTAGAAAAAAAATGGCGTTATCCTAATCTAAAGTAACAGATCTGTCCTGCTAAGCAAGTGTTTTTAAGAGTCTTAACGGTCGAAGTCCAAAGGGTCGAAAGTGACATCAGTGCGTCGATCGAACACGTTCTGGTTCTGGTGAGAACTCGCCTCGGGCGACGACAACATCTGCAGTAAACATGGACTCGAAGACGCCGATCTTCTTGAAGAACTGTTTTGCGTGGTTTTTCTTGGCACTCCTGACCACAGTAACAGCCCAAAACGGTAAGTAGCGACATGAAAACGAACTCTTACGAAGCGTATGTTTAGCGATGTAAACAATACTGTCGCGTGAATCTGAAATCTTGCTTTGGAAATCGAACGCGCCTGGATCACGACACAGAACTCGAGCAATTTCGAATTCGCTCACGCAAGTATCTAGAGTGGATTTTTATTCATTTGCTCTTATTAAACGACATGGTTTTCCTTTCCTGTGGTGCACACGTCCGTAATATTAAGGAAAATATCGCGTTTGATTCGCAGCCAAGTCCACTGATGGCACTGAACGATGTTTGGCAGCTGCCGCCGCCGTGGCCGCTGTCTGGCATTGAAATCCGCTTCTTACATTGAACACTGGTTGAATTTTCGCGCGAAACTGAATGATCTAGTGAGTCTGCCAGGAACTTAAATAATAATTTTCTTAGGAAATGATGTTTAATGTAAATCCTATTCGCGTTCATGTCAGGTATATTGTTGTTACTTTCTTCTGATTTCTAAATGTTCTAATATGTTTGCACATTACACACTTTCTTTGAAACACATTTTCCAAGTTGAAAGAAGCAAACTGATAAAAAAATTGACATGTAATTTAAACATCGAAATAGCTTTGTTTGAATAGAATTTTGTTTGCCACGCTCTACTTTGAGAATTCTTCATTCACGAACGTTCACCTGCCTCATAATTTTGAATTGAGTAGAATTGTTCTGTTAACGATGTCGTTACTCTGTTAATATTATCCTGCGGTGTTCAAATATATTCGCTGTACGTTTTATTATTTTCAAGCATTTTGTTTAATGCTGTTGTTGACTTCTAGAAGCTTTCATTGTTTGAAAGTAACAGTGGAAGAGTTTTATCGAACATCGAATATTAATGAAAGATTAATATGGAAGCTGTGTGTTATGTAAATATACTACTGGACTGTTGTTCAGTGTCGCAAGTCGTTCGTTTTGTTGACGTAGAGAAGATGAAGAATAAATGATCGAAAGTTCATGAGTTTGGCCAAAGTTAGCAGATTTTGGCAATAACGAATATGTCCATGTTCAAAAAAATAAATCGCTGGCATTTCTAATCAGTGATGTAATTTATCTTAGCGGGGGCTGAAATAATGTTCTGAACTGATGTTAGCTTCTCCTTTGTGTCTGGTTTGATCAAGAATTCTGCCATTACTAAATTAAACTAAAACTTCTCTTTAATAAATGGCAGCTATTTTTTTACGAGGAACAATTTTCGGTCTTTAAAAAGATACTGGCGTATAGAATGCGTCTCAAGGAAGGGTCACAAGTGTCTCGCACGCCTAGAGAATTCAGGTTTTCATTCATGCATGGAGCAGATTATTCCCAAAAATGTGATTATGATTAATCTTTTGTACATCGCGACCGACGCACCTCAAAACCCACGCGCCACTGGAATGATTTCGTGGTAAAACGCGTCTGAACTGATTTTCCTTCAAAATCGAACTTTTACTACCATGGTACCCGTTTAAATGCTTAAAAATTGTGAAAGATGGAGAGGGGAATTATCTGGAACATTCGCGTGCTTTTTTTTTTTCAGTAGGCAAATTATACTTTCTAATTTTCTTGTCTGTAAATGAACTGCTGCTGTAAAGGCGAACAGGAGGTGCTGGAAACACCGGAGTAATTTTCCTAGCTTATACCCTGTAGTGCATTAAAATAAATGTCAGCGCGTTTGAGCATCACTCATCGATGTATAGGCTTAATATATCCGCAACTAGCCTTAAGCCTTCTTTCAGACGTCTTCTAATAATCTGCCATTTTCTTTATCCTTTCCGGATAAAGTGAAAGGTTATACAGTGGTAGACGTCTACACGAAAACAACGGCTAACCTTTGCTCCTAGTCAGTGCTATTTGAAAACTACTGATTCTGTTCAGTGGAACCTGTTCAATTTTTCGGTCTTAATTTATTTTCCTGTGGTGAGCACTGAGTATTCGTGGGTCAGACAGTTTGTTGAAATAATCAATATTTATTTATTTTAATTTAAGGCAGTTATTGCGCTTGAACTGCCGAGATAAACGGTGAAACTCGCTCTTTTATTGGCATACTTTTTCAAAAAAGAAAAAAAAAAAATGCGGGATTTAACGAAGACAGGATTCGGCGGGAGTTGATGGAGGGTCAGCAAGTTTGATCGATTATTAAAAGCGTGTCTAGCTTCAAAAAACCGTCGTCTACTCGTCGGCGAACGGTCAGCAGCATTCTTGTCGACGGCCATGGAATTTTGCGGACACTGAGGTTTAGATTCGAAAAACCGAAAGATGATGCGATCAAGAGCCCATCATAGGTTATAGCTCTCAAAAGAAAACGATAGTTCGACAACTTAGGACCATCTTAGACGTCGTGCTACTCATGTGCCGAACTGAAGTGCAATTTAGTGGCATCGACTGTAGCACGGCAGAAACACGACTCTTATTCAGACATCACCAAATTCAGGATTTACGGAAAACACGTAGCAATTCTCTTCGTAACTCCCCGCAATCCCGGAAAAATATATTTATGAAGATTGTTTGGCGCGACAGACTGAGCACGACGTTTGAATGCTCCCGTACCAGAGTCGTGTTGCACGGCAGCGCTTGAGACAGCTGAGAGACCGTGCTTCTGCCGTGCTTTTGTCGAACTCAATTCCTAAATTTAGATGTTCGGCACGGCAGAATTGGGCCTTACTCTGGTTTTCTCCGGCTTTACATGACTGTAGCAGCGTTTATTGTTAGCAGTATATTTCCGTTCTTTCAGCTCAGCAGTGCTTATAATCTTTATCGACACCCTGATCGATATTGTCTCCTGTTTGGTTCACGCTGTGATGCTCATGTGAACAACTAAATTTGGTTTTTCCCATAGAACTTTCGATTAAAGACACCCCCAAGTTGTTTGCAATGTTAATAAGCAAGCGCGGCCATCAAAAAACTCGTTTATTTTATTGTTACTGTAGGCAGTTTCATTACACCACAAGTTCAAACGAATTTCCCGCCAAAACTACCTTCTGTGAACGCCACAGATTTTAATACAGTTGTACGAAATCTTTTAGTTTCAAGTGAGACGTCACTGAAAAGTCCAGCTTTATACATTGTATATACGTAGAGAATTTAATAGTAATTATTCGCTTACGTGTAATAGTTTATTTAGTTTCTCACTGCTAATTTTGTAACATTTTCTTGCGAAAGAATCGCACATTTTTGCGTCGGATTTTTGATTAAGCGCTGTCAGGAAGCTTCGACTTAAATGGTATTGGTTAGCGTTGTGCGTTTGGAGTTAGCCTGAAGAAGTTAAATATTATGAACACGGGTTTTATGCGCGCGCGCTCGTAATGCCAAGCAAGAGCAATTTTCAAGTGAGTGTCGTAAAACCAAAACCAATATTAAACTAGCCAATCACAAAGGTCACAGACAATCAGTGAACCAATCAAAACTCGAAGTAAATACGTGCAACTGACGCAAAGCGCGGGAAAACGAGTGCTAACGAGTCACGTTTGGTTTTGGTCTTATTTCTGATTGGATGAAAAAAGTGGCACGAGTTTTTTAAGCCAATCGTGTAGCGTAGTGCTGAAGTACAAAACCAATTACTCTTCGACGCTTACATGAAGACCACGCTAGTTCTTAAAACACTGTTATTCACAAAGTTATTTTGATTTTTCGTTTAGGAAATGATGACTACGCAGGCATGCATGTTCGCTGTACCGAAAATTACATGGAATTAACCCTCGAAAGACAACACTATGGAAAGATCGACCCAGCCTCCCTCCATCTCACAGACCCTAGCTGTGGTCCTACGTTTTATAATGACACGCTGATGGTCATAAGAGCGCCTCTGGGTAGTTGTGGTACAGTCGCTGGTCGCCGAGGCATTTTACTGGGATTTCGCAATGAAGTGTACGGGGATTTGATTGGCAGAAGTGCGATATCGCGGGAGCCAGCGTACCAGTTCCGTCTTCAGTGTCTGTATTATACAACAGCGAAAATAGTGCTGCATCCATTTAAACCCATAGAGAAGATAGTGGTCAACCCACCACCAGGTAAGTCCCGGTAGAATAACTCAGAAAGTCACAAATAAGGTCAACAAATCAGGTATAGTAAGGCCCATAACCTGATACGTTGAAGTACATGAAAAGTTCGGCGTCTGGATCATTTAAGAAAGGCTATTTGAATTTGGAACGGCTCCGCCTAGCTCAGCCGGGAATTTCGGCTTTGGAACGGCTTTAATTCAGACGTCGAACTTTTCATGTGCCGAACCTAAATGTAATAACTATTATAACGTATCTTACAAGCAGTTTACACTTTGCCTTAAAACTGCTGACATTTAGTTGTCTTTTGGTTCAAACTAAATTAAGTTCGGCGAATTAAGTTCGACGTCCGAATCAACAGGCGTACTTTTGATAATTTGGGTCGGTCCAAATTCGAATTAAGGAAATGATTATCTCTACATCAAATTTGACCAGGAGAGTGGAAATACAGTTTGTTTTGTTTTTCCAACATTTTTTTCCCTTTTTTTTGCCAAATTTAATTCATTTGATTTTTTTTGAAGAAACACTACTAACTTCCATGAAGGCACACTTTTTTCTTGAGAGTATTTTTTTATGCTCTTTTAAATGAGATATAATAGACTATTCTTCTGTGTTTTTTGGGGTTGACCACTAAGGACACAACAAACAGAAAAGCTGAACATATGTAGTAGTAATATATCAAACACGAGAGACGGTGTTTAACCACATTTCCAAACACCGAAATAAACCGGAAATGTGGTCAAACACGGTCTTTCGAGTTTGATATACCTTCACAATCGAAACTAAAACTAAGGCGAAAGAGGAGAAATAAAATCGTTAAAATCTATGCTAATTAAGATCAGATATCCAAACATCGTCACGGTCATGATTTCCTTTGTTTAAACTTGATGAATTATTAATGAGTTTGGGAAGATCACGTGACATGCGAACTATAAAGATTCTCTGCCGAGCGAATAGGAACTGATAGTTTTGATTTGACAAATTACAAATGTGAGTTTAAAACAATAAGAGAAAATATTGTCGCGGAAAACAAGACGAAGGCACTTTATAAATATAAAGGGCGCCTGAGGCTCCGCCCGCACACGCCGGAGAAATTTGAAAACGGTGTTTTGACTCTGAAAACGCATGAAACGTTTTCCGTGCACACTACGCCGGGCATTTTGAATTTGTGTTCATGGAAAACTCGAGCTGGGAAATCACAGGATTATCGCGTCGTCATCGTTTTCGAAAATCTCCGTTTTCAAAATGTTTTCTGTCCACACTCAAACGCAAAGCCGGCCTTTTCAAATTCCTCCGGTTTGAAGAGTCTTTTTGAAAAGTTCCGCTTTCGTGACGGAATTAGTGTGGACGGTAGGCCTAATCGTAGAAGTAAAGCTGCGGTTTCAAATTTTTCCGGCGTAATGTGGACGGGGCCTGAAGTGACAATGCATGAAATGAGCAATTTTAATTCCTCTGAAGTTTTATTTCCTCAAAGCTGAGCTTGGCAGTAGACGTCAGTGTCAGCGTAAAACAAACGTCTTCTCAATTATTGTGTTAATTCTATATCTGTCTCTTTGCCGCTAGGATTTGGAAACTTTACATTTGAGACCAACATGTTCCAGACAGATAAATACATCAGTAAATTCACCAAGTTTCCAGTCAAGGTGAAAGTTGGTGAGAGTATTTACCTGCAAGTTCGACTGAGGTCAAACGCAACTGGTCTGTCGATGCTGCTCGACAACTGCTGGGCGACTCCGACACCAAACCCAAATGACTCCACGTCTTACGATTTGATAAAGGATGGGTAAGTATATGGTTTTATTTTCCTTGATGCTGATGGGCGTAAAGAGTAACAAACTTTTCAGCACGAAAGTGAACCTCGGGAATGCTCGTCGTATTGCTTGGGCTGTAAATCATAGATTTTGGTCTCACTTAGCGTGTTCAGGACAAAGCGCCAAGGTATCTTTTTGAAGAAATAATAAAAAAACGCTGTCATGTCCGTTTTGAAATGGTATCTTTTGAGGGTTAAATAAAGCTTGGACCACGTCAGATTTGTCTCCTTTAGGGATTTAATTCAAATTTTTCGACGCGCATCCCCTTCTTCTTCACACGAGAGTCACCCCTCTCTTCCGGGCGATCATTCCAGATGTATGAAAGTGTTAAGTTCGGTTGACGTTTATGGCCTCTTATATTCCGTTTTTACTTGGACGCATAATCTATCTGAGACCCATTATGCCTGGGTAGATATAAGCATTGACCTTATTTACTTAGGAAGACGAATAATAAGTGCGTTTAGGTGAATACGACACGCATATAGCTCGTGTGTTAACAAAAAAAGAAAAACTGTGGTAAGAACGGCTGCTGGTCGCTTGACTGCAAATTTAGTCGCGTGGATTCACAGTTCAGTTAAGTCGGTCTGTTTAATGCGTGTCGTATTTACCTCGAAGCAAGTTGAATCTAAATCTCAATCTCAATCGCTTTATGAACGTGGTCAGTACGCCTAGCTGCCGACAAGCTAGTTTTCAGTTACGCCACGAATAATAAAGATAAAAATAAAAAATATAAAAATAAAAAATAAAAAAACTTTATTGGAAGTGTATTAAGTCAGATTCTTCCGCGTTTCTTGCGCTTTTTTTCCGTATTTATCTAGACGCATAATGCTTCTAAGATGCATTACTCGTCTGGGATACATTATTCGCCTGTTTGCATTAGGTAATTACGGCTATTATTTGATCTTGAGAAACGTTTACTGCCATTCAAGGTAACGGCTTATAGCAGCTCAGTCAGGTTATTTTCAGTTATTTTGGCCGCGTAAAGGATTACCTTTCAATTGGAGGAAACCTGAAAATAGTAGTTAACTAAGAAGATAATAATAAAGGGATACGCGGTTAGAGAAGATAAACGCGGATTACAAACGACGAACTTGAAAAATCTAGGTTAAACTTTTCAAGATGCGCAAATCATTACGTAGCCCCTTCAACAATCAAACCCATGTACTTACTTACCTCGCATCTGACGCGCTTTTTGTGCTCTTTTTTTTTTTTAGCTGCCCAGTAGATCCATACCTGAACTACAAGGTCTCGGATTCCAGTTATCAGCGGTTTAGTTTTGACGCTTTCAAAATGGATGATGCAGAAGTGATGTATCTTCATTGCGAGGTTCTTGTCTGCGCAAACAATGAGAAGAATACCACTCGTTGTGCTGAAGGCTGTGTAGAAAATAATCCGGGTGGAAGCAGGCGGAAGCGGCGAGATGAGACGAATCAGGAGAGGAAAGAAATGACGTCTTTAGGCCCGGTGANAAAAAAAAATGTTCCTAAAATACAATGCCGTGGAGCAAGTCTAGAAGGTAAGAAATGACCTCAAAGATCAAGGCCGTCATCTGACGTCATCTAATGCATTTCTGTTTTTTTTGTTTTGTTTGAAGCTGGTTCTCGTTCCCAGTCCCCTCTCGTCGCAGTTGAGAAGACAGTAGTCGTCGTGACCTTCATCTTGGCTTTTCTTCTGGTGATGTAATTAAGAATTAGCAACCAATCACAGCGAGGTTTCACAAAACATCAAATTAATCTCGTCACCGACGACTCCGAACAGCTCGCATACGTAAACAAGCTAGGAGAGTAGCAAGAAAGAATATGAAAAGTCACAGACAGGCAGAGCAAATGGTTTGTAGTTTGGTAAAAAAAGAAATACAGTGGCACATAAGCATAGTGTTCATGGTTGCCTAGCCAGTGAAAACAGACGCCTCCTATCACTTCCGGTCGTCTTGGAAGCGACTAGAAGTGGTTACATTGCAGTCTAATACCTGCTTGTCTGTCCACAGCAATTAACCCTTGCATGTTAGATGTAACACACATTTCCAAACACCGAGAAGAGCGTAGTATTTTTGACGAACTTCGAGGTGTTTGGAAATGTGGTCAAACACTGTCTTGAGTGTTTGATATATCTTCTCACTCGAAACTAACACTACGGAGAAAACGGAGGAATAAAATCGTAAATATCTCTGCTAATTAAGATCAAATATCCAAACACTGTCGCGGTCATGATTTCCTTTGTTTGAACTTGATGAACTGTTAATGAGTTTGAGAAGTCAATGCAAAAGTTCTCCTGATAGCTCTTTACAATTATTCATAAAATATTATGGGAAAATTTGATTGTATATGAGAACAGCACCTTGGTTGCCAGCGTTTGGATTCTAATTAAGTTCACGCTGGATTTTATATAGATATTCTGAGAATTCCTAGCCTGATCAGTGTTGATTGTAGTGGGTTAAATGCTGATAAGACAGCGTATAAGACAGGCATTTTTAATCAAACACATTTCGTGTCTAAGGAAATTATTGCATATAATTATATATGCACTAGGTGTCAGCTTTAGAGCTTTAGAAATCATTTATAATGACAGTAATTTATGGTTGAATTAAAAGCTGGGCGCATGCGCATTGTATTGTAGTAATCGCTGAATTATTTACTTATTTAAGGCGAAGTCGTCACTTTCAGAAAGGTATTCATGGAAGTTTTTTACACTCTACAAAGTTTTAGAAATGTGGATATTGTAGTTGCCTTCATAGTTATTTACAACCTGCGGGTGAAAAGACGTCCAACATTTCAGTCTTAACGTGGTAGAGATGATTTTCAAATAAATGTTTAAAAACGTTCATATTTAAGTTGCGCTCATATATAATTCACTCACTAGACGAATTCTTGCGACATCATTTTAAAGTTGCTTTTGACAATGGCAATATTATCGACCTTGGCTAAGTGATTTCTTGATTTCTATTTTATAATCAATACAAAAAAATCTTACTTCTGGAGAAACAAACGATATAAGCTTCTTGAATGTGCCATAATGGCTTTACTTATCTAAGCTAAAGGGTCTCGACACGGCTAGAGAGAGGCGCAATTCAGTTCTCGACAGCAAAAAACTATCGAAAACTAAAAAGCCAGTGCGTGAAGCGAGTTATCGATAACAATCTGTAACAACAAATAGTTAGCGCCATCTAAATGCTTTTTTTTTTAATTTTAAAAAAGGAAAGCTGCTTTAGTTGTAGATAACAAGTAACTGTCGTTTTAGTTTTCCCTAGTCCTTGAGAGATCTAGAGTTGCGGACAACTCAATCACGAAAAATGTAGAAAGGCTGATTAACGATACGGAAACTATACACTATCAAAATTCCAATATTTCCAAAACACATTTCTTATTCGTCGGTGTTTGATGTCCGCGGTTTCAGCGTCAAACATGCGTTAAAACTTTTACTACTCTGAAATGCACATCGAACGGTATTTAGCGAGGTTTCAGATAAGAAGTTTCGTTATTGATGACTTTTCCCTAAGTTCGTGGAGAACTTTCATCGAACGCTAATAGACTTCGACCATTATAATTCTCGACTGCAATCTCTCTAGTCTGTCTTGGCCCCAAGCCCCAATATATCAAATATAACTGATTGACCACTCAATAACAGTGACACTTAATAATATTTCTAGCGCTATTTATATTTCCATGGAAGTCATGAAGTCGGCAAGACAAGACAATGTGTTTTTTAGTGCAAAATGGACATGGAAAAGGTACAAGTGTTTTATAAACAGTTTTCTATAGCGAGGATCTTTCGTGAGGACCCAAACCTATTTGGAAAAGGGTGGCTTTTCATGGGAATATTTGTAAACCGTTTTTACTGTTGAAAGGTTGCGATGGTTTTCGTTATCGCGGTTTTAAGAGCAGTCTGATTTTTTTTTAAACTAATCATGTTCCTAAGGAAATTTCCTTCCTATTTTTCCCCCGCGCTTTTTACGATTTCACCGGTAACATGTTTTCCCGCGCTTTTCACCGGTAACGCGTTTTCCCGCGCTTTTCACCGGTCACATGCGCATACTCCGTGTTCTGATTGGTTATCATCTTGCAAATGGTTTTTTTAGTCCGACTTCAATCAAAATAAAGCTATTCTAAATTCACAGCGCAATTTTCGTCTTACGTACTTGTTTTACATTTATAAAGTAAAATCGTGATTTCCGGCTTCGAAGTTTTGTAGTCTTTTTAATCACAGCAGGCTAAGGTTACTCAATGCTGTTTTAGTCTCCTTAGCAGCCACAAAGTAGGCTCGAGTTAAGGCTCGAGTAGTTTCGATTTTCGCCGCTGTCTTGAGCGCGGGCTCTTGGTGACTGAAACGTTGCGTGACCGCTGAAGTAACGAACGCGCGGACATCCGCCCCCCCCAATAATGCTTCGTTTGCTAGGCTTTTGCGCAGGAAATATTTAAATAGATTATTATTTTAACCTTCAAAGGAGCCGTGAATACATTAGTAGTAATGTTCAAATAAGAAGATTCTGCAAAGTAGGAAACATAATTTTAATAGGGCAAAACAAAATAACACTTGTTCTTGTAGTAGACAAAAGAGAGAAAATAAAATAATCTTGTGTGCCATATTATAACCAACAGAAACATGTGTAGTTCAGTTATTGCTTGCGTTTCCAATGTGTTAAGTTTCTGACAACCTCAATAGAGCGTTTTCACTCACGTGGCCAGCGCACATGGAAATTTATTGGAAGGAAACAAAGCGTTTACATTAGAAAAGAGTTCAACTCCCATAGGATTAGTTTGGTACATCAACATGGCCGCCGCTTCACTGCTTTGGAACACCAATGTGGCTGTCGTGACGTCATGTGAATGCGCTTTACACGCTAGACGTAGAACGTGGGGCCGTTAAAACCCAACGCCACCGTCGTGTTCAGTGACTACATTTTTGTTCCAACTTTGTTTTAGAACAGTAAACAGCAAAGAAAGAAAACGGCCAAAATGTCGACTTTCTTCTTTGCTGACATCATGGGAAACACCAGTTAGTTCGCAATCGATCAAGGGAAGGTTGAACTTGTTTCAAGGTCTTACGCAACTATCCTCACTAGTGTCCATGACTCCACGATGTTTACTTGATTAGCTGGGGCTGGGAACCATTAAATGGGCCACACCCAAATATCAAAAGGAAACACTGCCTTTTATCTATATCTATTTATCTTTTTTGTCTCAAGCTAGACTTCTTAATTCTCCTTACTGATTTCCATACATTTCCTCTTAATATGTTTTGAGAATTTGATGTTACATCAAGGCTATATTCCTTGTTGATCAGGTCTCTTTATTCTCATCAACTGTGTCGTTAATAGCGTATCTATATTGAAAAGAGAAACTAGACATTGATATAGTGTTGCAGGGGCGGATTTAGGGAGGGGGAAGCCAAACAAAAAAAGAGAAAAAAATGAAAAAAGGTTGTGAATATTATGGCAGAAAAAAAGGCAACCTCTCTTGACAGATACCTTCTACTTTGTGACCAGTTGCTGGTATTTCTAGTGAAACGGTTTTCAATTAAGTTCCAATTCTCAAATTGTAACATTTTGGTAACATGCCACATTGATTCTGCAACCCCAAGGTACCAGCCCACCCACCCTCTTGAAAAATCCAGGATCCGTCCCTGCAGTGTTGGGAACAAAAGGGCTACAAGTGGTACAGGTCGAAACGTGAACTTCAGACTTCTCTGCCGTCGTTGAATTATCGTTGCAATGACAATTTTCGTTTTCAATGATCACCATGTCAACTGGAGAGTTGCAACACCTTGAAACGAACACTGCAGTGGATATCTGTTAACTCTTTCCTCCTTGTTTTAACATGGCGAAGATTTTCGTGTTTCTGATAAGAGTCGCCGTCTCTACGATAAACCGCAAAACAAGAAATAGTTAATACTCAGCATAGTGCCTCTTTTCACGAAAACGGACCTTTTTAGCAGTGACTGCAAGATTTTTGTCTTCAGTAGGAAGCCGACACGCATTGAA